TGGTGCCAGAGGATAACACCCCACCGCAGCTCGGCTCACGTGGAGGCAGACCTTGCGCTGAGAATTGGAGGGCGCCAACTGCCAATGAACCATAGCCTCCATCTGCCTAACAGCATTTGTTTTGAAACGGAGTAAATTACCTGGAAAAAAATAATAATAAAAAAATCTCTACATTCAGAGAGCAGCAATATGAGGCACAGAAAACTTTGGAAATGGCTGAATAGAGATTGCCTGCGCAATGCTCATTTGGCCCCAGCGTACGTCTGCATCACGAAACAAATCTGTAATCACACGATCGCCTGCAGTTTTTCTCCCACAAGACCTCTGCCCTGCTCAGTCCTCAGGATGGTTCTGCTCACTGAATGCAGCATTAGTCATCATTTCTTTTCATTATCATTCAAGTTGTTTGCCCGTTCCCTCCTACTCTCTTCCCCTTTATTTAGTATGCTCCATCCGACTACTGCCAGCATGGATTACACTGGAAGCACCTAATCTTACCGTCCTTACTGCTCGCACAGTCTCTGACGTGCTCAGCCTCACATTTCTGCGAGGCAGGGAGCGCTCCTCTCCGAGCAGCAGATGGGGGAGGGAGCTAAAAGAAGCTGAGACCTGACAAAGTCTCTGAGAAAACCTGTAAGAGCAGGGGGCTGAACATGAGTCGTCGGCTCCCAGGCTGAACCCTACACCCCACAGAGTTCCCTTTCTCTCTCCTGACCTGTAAGAATGAATTTTAATATCTTCCTGAAATTGCTTCTGGTGTTCATCTGTGGTGCTGGAATGCTTGGCAAGCACTGAATTAATCTTCACAGGATGACTGGAAGGTTTTCCTTAACAGACAGGGGAAAACAAGCGAAGAGGAAATTGAGTCTGAACGTCCACTTCTCGCAGGTGCCTGCCTCAAGACTCGCAGCTCCCCGTTTTCCAGCCCACTCAGCACTGTGGGGCACAGGGGATGTGCAGCAGAAATCCTCCTGGCCTCAGGTGCTGCTGGCAACACGGATCAGACCTCGGGCCTCAAGCTGGCTATCCAGAAAATAAGGAACGCAAACTCAGTTGCCACCTGTGAATATTTTAGCTTAAGAATCTAGAATAACATTGAGAAAGAGCAGAGTAATAGAGGCAGGGCCAGGATCCAGTTCTCCAGGGTAACATTTAACAGGCTTCACCATGGGACTATTGTGATTTTTTGCAATTACCTGCCTCATTCACTACACACCTTCTAATTCTGACAAACAAACGAAGTGGAAGTCCTATAGGCGAGAGGCTACCTTGCTCCATACTCCTGATTCATTCCCAAAACACGCTGTACGAGGCAGGCATACCTCGTAGAAAAAAATAAATCTAATCATTCAATTAGATATGGCACTGAAACAGGCATACGTAACAGGGGCAAGACTGTTGTTCAAATACTTCTGAAATTCGGTATGCTTGATTTTGCAGTTAACGAGGACTCGTTAACTACAGGTTTGTTTTTACTGCACCGTATTGGCTTGTATGCCGGAGTTTGCAGCAATATCTGATGCGTAACATGCACGTTGCACATGATCAAAGACTCGACTGTCATCTTCTTCCCTAGAACAATGACTGCCTAGAGCAGCAGGAGCAGAAATTATCTGAAGGTAGTGTTAAACAACCCTCCTTCTCCCCTCTGGGGAGAGTAAGCAGTCCAGGTGAGCAAGGTAGGAGGGGAGAACAGTCTGCTTTGTGCTCGACGGGCAGAGAGCTCCACATAAAAGCAGGGGAGCTTTGCAGAAGCATGTCCTGACTCCCATCACTGGAGACTTAATGATGGTAATTCCCAAAGGATGATGCATGCTGACAGGCTTTGACACAAACTACCCCAGGATAATATTAATATGTATTAAAGGCTCAGGCAACTTTATTGGGTCGGGCTTGATCAGTAACACATTTCAACAGAGCGTCTCTATCATCTGCCTGAGCATAAGTAAGGGAGGGAAGGAGAACACACGCACGACCTCACCTTGCTTCGGGTAGGTTTACAGACAAACAAGGCTGATCTGTGATGGACTGCATGCTTGGCACAGCTCACACCAAGGACCTGGGACACCCTACCACGAATACAAATGTCTCTGTGGGGCAGTCACTGTCAGTCTGTGTGCATGATCAACATCCTTAACCCCCTGACACTGGGCCAGGCAGCTCCTGCACAGCCTTTCACCGTCCATCTGGGACATCCACCCCTCGGGAAGGAGAGGAGAGGAGGCTGGGGGTGCTGAGGAGGCAGTGTGGGGACACCGCTGCCACAGCACTGGGGGAAGGGGGAATGGAAGAAAGAAGGGCGGAAGCCTTTGATCATGTGTGATGTTAATGCAAGTGTTACACATCAGAGACTCTGCCACAGTAACTAGCATATAAACAGGAGTCTAGTGTTAACAAGGAGGGCTTCTTGAATATGTTTGTATGTTCCTGAGTCAAAGCAATTTCCCTATTCAACAATACATGACACGGTGGAAGAAGTTCAGAAATAAACCAGCCCGACATGCTTAGACCTTTAATAGAATTTAGCTTCTTAGAACTAATTAAATGTTACTTAAATGAAAAAAAAAAATTCCAAGTACTTGGGAAAGGTGCCAATTTGACAGCTCTGGAGAATGAAATAATCTAATCATCCCCAGAGCATGGGCAGCAGCAGGACAGGCTTTCCCCTAGTAACATACCTCGAACGTGACCTGGAAAGGCTGTTGATAGAAACGGGGGCGTACAATCATCGTGGTCTAATGACTTTTCTGCTGAGGCTGCTAAAAACGCTCCTGCCGAGCGCCAGCTGCCCGCTAGGAACGGCGCCGGGACCTGCCAAACCCCTGTCAACCGCTCACCGTCCATCAGGCGACCCTGATCAGCCCGGGCTGATCGACTGACCCACCTCGGACACTCTCCATACGAGCCCAGGAGATGTGAACAGGATTTGCTGTGTTTAATCTGCACTTTTGGGCTCCCACTTGGGCCCGAGAGGAGCCAGCCTGCTGCTGCATGGGATGGAGGCCGGGATTTTTGCTGTCTCCTCCCCGGGAGGAGAGAGGCCTGCTGTCTCTCTTCCTCCCCATGGTCCCTCCGTTGCCGTGCCTTTGCAGCAAGCCTCTGCATTGCAGTGCTGCGTTTCAGGCGCCAGCTCTCCTCGGAGCTCATCGCCGTGCCTGGGGTCCCGAGCGAGGGAGGAGGCAGAGCCCCTCCGGGCCTCGCTGTGAAAGCTTTGTGGGGCCTGCCAACTCGGCCAGCCCAGGCTGCGAGGGGCTGAACCCAACGCAGCTCGCCTCCTCGGAAATTCTGCGCACCACAATTTCTTTTGCCTTCTGAAGCAAAGCCACACGAACCTCCCTCCTCCGCTCCCAACACCACAAGGGACTGCAGCTGAAGCCTCTCGTTGCATATTAAGCCAAGAGCCTCAGACACTCCCACATGCATCTCACACAGCCGGGTGCTCCTCCTCTTGTCCCAGGCTGCTTCTGGCCTCCCTTCCTCCCCCACCCGGGCTGTCCTCCTTCATTCCCATCACAGGATGGGGCAAGAGCCAGCACAAAGGCAGTCACGTCAGAAGAGAAGATCCGATGCACTGACCTTGTGTAGGAGACAAGCGAGGGAACTTGCTTCTCCCTTCCCTGCAGGAGACAGAAAGTCTCCACCTTTCCCTCCCACCTACTCCAAAAAAATACCTAATTTTCGGTGTCCCAGTGACAGCAACCAGGTTCCTAAGGGTTAACATTAGCTGCTTGTCTGAATGGTGACCTAATTATTGCCATTCTTCACTCTTAGAGGTTACCTGACTACTCCACACATCAATACATTTCAAGATGTGATGTAAATGCAAACAAACACTCTTATGTTTGGAGTTAACACAGTCACAAGATCCCGTGTATCATGTGTTGGCAAGCACAGGAACCAACAGCAAATGACCCACCCTTAAACCTGACCGTTTGCTGTTAATCATTACAGGAGCGTTGCACTTTCCAGCCAGTACAATCAAAGCACGCAAGTTCTTTGAAAATCCCTACACGAGATGATTTCAGCCAAGATCAGCTCCTTTACAAGCCGTACAGGCTTCAAGGTATGATGTCCTCCAGACATACGAACAGAGGCAGTGGAATGCCTTGAAAACAAGTCAGGGGAAGGTTAAATGCAACGCTGCAATGCTAAAACAAACCTCTGCCTTAAAAGCAGAAGGGGAGGCAGGAATGCCACAGTAACAATGAAGGCAGAGAGGCACTGCATGTATACAGTCCCTCAGAAATAGGCTTTTCTGCACAAACACATTCCCTAAAGCTTTTTTTTTTATTATTATAATTATTTTTTGCAATATGTTTATAACCATGAAGAAATTCAAGGTTAGAACAGCGCTGTGCCACCATATCGTTAGTGCATCACTGGCTCCGTAGGGCTGACCCTCAACACCAAGCAGATGGGGAACTTCCAAGGGAAATATGGTGCAGAAAATGTGTGGGTGCTTCAAGCAACCACAGACTTTCATCAAAGAATCAATAGGAAAGAGGTATAACTGAAAGAGGCTGCACTATCTGTGCTGCTCTCCTGTAAAGGACGATGTAAAACTGAGATCCCGACTCTGTAGGATCAAAGTCCCACAGCTTTCTCTCGAGATCAGCTTGCTACTCTTCTGCCCTGGCTCCATTCTTGTTTAGGTCATTCCACTCTGCCTCCCCAAATTCCTTTCTGGAAGAAATCGTGAGTAAATACAGCCTGCAAAGTGTTTGCTGACTCCAGGAAATGGATACTACTGTATTCATAGATGATTTTAGAACTTTCCAGCTACTGCATATCAATTTGAGCTCTGTTAATATAAATTGTAACATCTCACCATTATTTTTTGAGTCCATAGTCACTGAAAATAGTACCCCAGAACTATAAGAAACGTTGCAGCAAGAACTAACAGGTTTGTTACACTTCTAAGCCACGTAAGCCCTTAGCAGGATCACTTTTAGGACACTGTAAAGGAGGAAGGGAGAGAAAAAGGAAGAAGGCTCTCTCACTTGTAACCAAGGTCCATGTGCTGCATAGGGGTGCTCTTCTGTTGCAAATGCTCCTTCTACTCCCGTTGATACAAACGTGATTGCTGTGTCCCCTGTAATACTTTTATACGTAAAGTGCCGTCCATGTAAGAGCCTCCCCCTAGGGAATAAAACATGCGTGTGAATTAAAAGGCTGCGAGCAGCATTCAACAGACTGATGAAGATATATCACTGTGATACAGCACTACAGCTTCTGCCATCAGCATGGAAGCCATTTGAAGGCAGCAACTTAATTTTTTTTTAAGGAATATATGACTGATTTGCTTCACAAAGCCCGTCACAAGTCTCCTTCTGAGGCAGGGAGCTCTCCCCTACCTCCCCCCTCAAACTCAGGGCCTTGTTTTAGAGCTCTATCAGCTCACCTTGGTCCCCGTGCATGCCTATCCCCATGATGAGGCACTGACTGCATGCACGGACAGAGCACTGCCAGCCTTTCAGAGAGCTGAGAGCTGCAGGAGAGAACCCAGACTCCACATCACGTGGCAGGGTCTAAGCAGGCTCATCAGTGGGACCAAACTTACGGACGGTGACAATGCCCAGAAATCCCCTGGGACTTGACAAATGCAACCTGCGTTACTTATGCATTTCAATAAAATGTCTATAAGATACACACACGTGATCATCTATAGCATCAATTCCCATTTTTTCACTCAGTGCTTTCCGTGGGGACAACCATTCCTCTGGTATTTACACTCAGAGACTGCATTACAAGCATGCCTCCACCATGCAACAGGGAAACCTTCAGGTAAGATATATGGCACCTACCAACAGTCACAGCTGCCTGATGAGTTACTGCTGGTCAGCTGAGCTGCGGTAAGTGATCAGGACAGACTGTTCACACATTTGTAATGTAAAATAAAATATGTTTGTGTTAACTGTCCCACTGGTTTCTCAACAGGCACAGGCAACCGTGCACCTGCTGCTGATAACTCTGATACCACAGGCACGTAACTCATTAAGCCAAAGTAACTCAATCACCTGGAACCGTTTGTCTTATGCTAACGACTACAACATTTGCCACAGGTATTTTTTAAAAATAGCGCTGATTGAAACTGTGGACATCTAGAAAAGTCACTTGCAGTGGTATGCAAAGCCTGAACCTTTGAAAGATAAGGCATAGGGCGTACACGCCATGTTCTGTCCCTTCATTCACCTAAGTGCCAGAATTTGACTAAAAACACACTTGCATGCATAAACTGACTGCAAACGGGCTTTGTACAAATACTTGTGTCTGAGTCCATAAGCCATAGTTAACAACTCAAGGGATTTCTTTGACAGAATATGATAAGACATCTCTTCTTTATCGTAGTTGCCAGCATTAGACTAATAATAATAAAAGCATACTAATCCTGTCCTGTTTCAGCACTCAAAATACACTGGAGGACTAAAAAAGAATGAGAAACAGTCTTACCACGACGAACACACATGCAAAGAACCATCTGTTTTTAATGTGTTTTGGCAAAATTATCTCAACTCTGGCCTTTAAAGACCCATTGCATGCATGCCTGTATGGCGAAACAATGCCACAAGGCAAAAGCTGCGTGTTAGTTACTAGCTGAGGAGGAGGACGGCCTCTCTCACCTTAGACAGAGGGGAATCAGCGCTCCGGACTCCTGGTTGAACTTCAGGTGTACACTCTCCAGCTGTCTCGTGCGGATTAGCTCGTGAGGAATGATAGCTGCTGAGCTCTCGCTTTCTAAACTGTCCTTCCGGCTTCTAGGAGGAGAGAGAAAACACACATACTTAGGGTCCCAGCGCTGTGTGCCATTGCTGCTGTGATTCAGATCGATTGTGTGAATGCTGAAGGACACAGGAGCAAACTGTTAGGAAGATGCATCTGTGTTTTCATCAGCCTACAGAGACGCAGCCTCTCGCAGACTACCAGCCCCAGCATGCAGCTCTTTGCCTTCATTAGACAACCTAGGATGTGAATTGGAGCCTCATCCCTTCCTAGCATAGAAGAAAAAAAAATAATCTGGGAAGAACTGGGGCAAAACTACACTCTCCAAAGCCCAAACCAGTATAAAATAGCTTGGAAGAATTAGCAGGTATGCCCTCCCTCCCCCTTTTGCTCTATCTTCAGGTTATTTTAGGCAGTGGCCTGTGGGAAAGGGTCAAAAAGTCTCTTGTGCCCTTACTGAGTATCTTTAAGGTCTGAGGCACGCCTACAATTCTCTCCAAATTGTTTCTTTCCACAGTTCAACCGAAAGATTTTGAGAACTCTGTTTCCACCAGCATCAAGACAGCCACAAGATGGATTCTGCACGTGACGAGTAGGACATCTGCAGACTGCCTTCCCTTTGAAGCGGGAACTGCTTTAAGACAACGCAGCTTTGCTTCCTATTTATTCATTTCTGCAAGGCCAGCAGCATGTCATGGAGCTACGACTAAAGGTTATGTTGTTGCATGATTAGGAGCTTCGCCAGACAGAACCCTCCAGATAATCAAGCAGGTGTATCTCAAAATACTTGACCATAAACACTTTATATGTTCAAAGAGCAGTTACTTGATAGCCTGGAATGAAGAAGGCAGAACACAGGATTTACAGTTTTTGAGGATGACACGTATTGATGCAATGTGCCCAAAAGTGACTTATATTTTTGTGACCCAATGTTCCATGTTCACTTAAAAGAAGTAAGACTTTGTGAAGATCATTTCTATACAAGAGAATCACCAGAGGATCGGAACAGGGAAGGCAGGAGAGAGCTGAAAGATGCCACATAGCAGTGTGGTTTTATCTTGCCAGACAGACCAAGAACCAAACGAGGCTACCAGGCTGCATTTGGGAACACTGCTAAAACATGCCCAGATCCTTCCTCCACCCAAGCTGAGCCATCTTGAACATACATCTGGAAAAAATTGTAAAGAAACAGCTTGAACTTCGTGAGATCACACCTCTACTTGACTTTACATTTGGGCGTTGTCCCAAAATTACTCCCATCCACCACACACATAGTAATGCAGTTCAGAATGGCTTCCAAAGCAGATCAGCCTCCAGCCCCTGCCCAGTCACCTAGTCCCAGGTGAGACTTCCTCTAAAATGGGGTACGAGCTCAGCTCTTCTATCTCACCATGCCTTCCTGCAAAGAAACAGAAACGTGCAGAAAAAAAAACAAAACCAAAACAAAACCAGGGCAGCTCAGCTCATCTCCCTGCGAGATAAAAACTGTGAAACGTGTCCTGTGTTCTGCCTTTGCCACACACAAAGTGTAATGGCCTCGGCAAGGACACAGTAGGTCAGGACACAGCTTATGCACGGGGTGGGCTCCGGGCTGTCAGTCAGCCAAGTGTCAGGCTGGTGGGTTAACCCCGAGGCAGAGACACAACATGCTTTGTAGTCTATAGGTGGCACTTAAAGCTGTGTTTAATCTACTTCAGCAAACATTTTACAGCTCTTTGTAGGTGGGGTCTTCAAAGAGCGGAGTGGGCCAGCATTTCGCAGGCTGATTACCTGAGAAGTGCACGGTTGATTAATGATCAGTTGACCTTAAGCTAAGCTTTGCCTGAACTTCCTTATCAGATCTTATATACACAGCGAGCTGTGGGAAAGTCAGCCTGTGGTCTACCGCTTCCAATCATTCATTTATCAATCCCTACTAAAAGGGTCAGCCATTAGCAATGCATAGTTTTCAAGCCGTAAGCTCGCACTGAAACGCAGTTGCGGAGTTTATGCACCCCGGAGCAGATCAGGAGTTACACAGAGACGGTGCCCTCCTCACCTGGATTGCCTAAGTGCTCTGGGCACGTCTCCTACCACAGCGTCCCAGGCAGTCGGTGCCGTAGGTTCGTGCTGGAGCAGGACAGACTGCCGGGGGACGGTTCCCCAAAACCCCGGGCTCCAAACTCCTGGAGCCGAAGGTGGGTTTTTCGGTTTCCACCACGCGAGCCAGTGCAGCTGCGAGCACAATGGGGCTGCAGTCCTGAGGGGAAACAGCCTCCGGTTGTTAATGCAATAATAGGAATGACGACAATATTCTGCAGGCAAGGGGCAAAGCTTTCTAAATCTTATTAAAACCAGCAAACGCTGTTTGTCATTACACACTCAAGAGAAGATGTTGACTAATGTATAACTCTCAAACGGAACTGTCATGACTTTAAGGCTGTCAATAATTATGACTTCACATTAATAAGTAACCAGCCCTTCTGTCAAAAAGGTGAAGGAGTGAAGCAAAATGGTAGTTAATTCTTTGAATGACGTGAAATTATTAATCCTTTCCACAAAACTTTTCCGAAATAGTCACGGTCTCCGTGTTTCTTTTTTTCACTTTAGTGGAGCTCACACGATCTCAGCTATTCAGAGTTAGGGGTGAAACTACGGGAGCAGAAAGCAAACCACCTCCTAGCTAAGCTATCCATTTCTAAAAGGAGTTTGTGGGTGTGTTGGGGAAGAAGCACAACACATTGAGAGGTGACGGTGCACCCCATGGGCTTGTGGCACCTAATTTTCACCTCAGCAGAAATCGCCACCTCGGGGCCTAGAGGTGGCCAGTCCCACCGCCCCAGCGAGGGACCCCAAAGCTCGCTGACCCAGTTGAGGCCCTGCTGTGCTTTCATGAGCATCCTAAAAACACCCCGGGAAGGCGGTGAGGGGGGCATGGGCATCCCATGGCCTACATCCAGCCTGTGGACCAGTGGTCAGACCCACGCGGTGGCTGAGGCGAGGCAGTAGGCCCGTACGTCCCACCGCTGCCTCCGCTGTTGTTATATCCCGGGATATGCAGCTTCATGAAAAGAAAACAGACAAAAGCAAGATCTGAAGGGTATCTACAGGCTTCAGCTTGTAAAACGGAGATGATCAAGTGAAAGAAAGGTGCTTGAGGAAGGCCACAACCGGAGCTTTCAGGCTCTGAGCATGTGCAGGGACTCTGCAGGACGCATTAAAATTCCCCCCCTGGGAACGGAAATCCTTGTGCTGACTCTTCCAAAGGGTGATAGCCCAGATGGAGGGTCAGCAGGACTTGTAGGGCGTTATTAATAAGATTAGAGGTCACGTTGTAACACGCACTGCCATCCACAGCTTGTACTTTTCAGCTGTAGAGGAAAATTTAGAAAAAGTTTGCTTTCTAACACTAACATCCCTGGTTTTACGACTGTCAGTTACCCGTAAGCCTTTGCTTCCTCCACCCCGTCACCAAATAAATCAGCAGCAGAATTTGATGGAGTTTTATTTGTTATGACTAAGATCTAGCTGACTATCACGTAAAACGTTGCAAACTTGGTCTATTCCAGATTTAATACTTCATCCAACCCACACACAAAAAATTCATGTTTCTCAGTGTCCAGAAAAAACAAGTCTGCAAAAGCCAGGGCTGCTGCATTAGGGAAAGCAGGAGATTTAAATGGAAGCAGCATGCCGGAAATGCCCCAGTTTAAGGACTGCACATCTAGTGTTTTGTGAAACTGGAGGGGAGGTGGAGGAGATTAAAGCGCATTTCCCACTGATTGGGAGCTTGTGGGAGGTGTAAACGTGGGCAGTTGTCAGATTAATTCTTTAGATGATTACATTCTTTTTGTTTCTTTAAAGCTGTTTGTAGTTGGGTTTGATGTCTCCTGTTCTGGGCAAGTGTATTGCTGCAGTTACCAAGGTGACTTTAGCTGACTTTCAACTATTTTTTCCAGCTTCGGTTTCTACCAGTAGTCTGCTTCTGGGTGGAGGAGAGAGAGAGAGGAAATTATGTTTGTTTTTGTTTTGTTTTTTAATTTTGTGAATGCTGATTAGCACTCTGTGAACTTAACCAAAGTCATACTTGATTTTTAAAGCAAAGTTTTAGGGAGAGGGGTGGTCAAGCTGTTGCAAAAGGGTCCAACGTGGACCGCAGCCTCCCCAGACCTCTGCCCACAGGGAAAAAGGGCCCGAGGAGACTACAGGTCCCAGCGTGCTGCGCTCCTCCATGGGAGCAGCCACACGCTGCAACCTGCAGCCTCCTGGGGGCCCTCTCCTCGTATTAAAGACGAGGGTGGCTGCAATCTGCTTAATTTTCTGCCAATTAGCAGCAGCCCTTGGGGATCCTGGAGAATGGCCAATGCAATCAGCGGGTTGCGCAAAGTTTGGATGTCCCCTCCTTATAAGTCATGTTTACGGCAGGCTCCTCTCGAGCAGTCCCCATGGCAGTTATTTTATGGGATTCAAGAATAACCAGATCGGATTAAGAAAGGTTTATTTATTCTTGCATTTGCATTCCGCTTGATGATCAGAGCGTTTGATCTCAGGGATCTGTCACTGAAGGAGGTCTCAATTCCCTTCCAAGCTCTGTCACTGACACGGAGCGTAATTCCTCGGCGTTTCCAAGTCACCACCCTGGGCACTGAGCTCACCAAGGCCAGGATTTTGGAAGCTGTCCACGGCAGTGACTCTGTAAGACTGAGTGCCCACCGCATCGCTAACCCGACCTGCAGCCACTTCTCCTCGCTTCCTAGGTACAAACCCCAGCACCACGAGGCAGCAGACACAGAGCGAGCTTACAGCAGCTGGGAAAGAAAGTCTGGCTGGCTTTTTTTTTCTTCCCTTTTCCCTTCCCAACTGGGGCTATTTCAAACTTCCTCGCTCCCTAATGAAGATATGGTCAAAGATCACTTAAGCGTCGGCAACCTTCCAGTGTCTTTCCCACAGTTTCCCCTGAAGGGCAAACCGGCAGTTGTGGGAAAGAGCCCCGAGCATCTTGGCACACGGCGTTAGGGACACGTCACGGAGGCACGGAGGCAAGTGCAGAAGTGGG